TGTCCACGAGCCTGCTCGGCCTCTCGGGTGAGCCAGAGGTTTTTAAAGGACTCGGTGGGCTGTTCTGGTAGGGAACTCTCTGGGCAGGTCTGGATCCCGGGAAATTCCAGAGGGGAAAGATAATGACTTAGCAAGTGGAATGTGGTCTTAGCAAGTGGAATATGGTCTAAGTCAGTGGTTGGTAAACCGAGGCTCACGAGCCACATGCGGCTCTTTGGCCCCTTGAGTGTGGCTCTTGCAGAAAATATCACGTGGGGCGTGAAACTTCGTGGCCCATGCGCAGAAGTCGGTTTGGCCTGGGCCAGTCTATTTTGAAGAAGTGGCGTTAGAAGAAGTGGGGGGGTGTCGGTTGGTGGGGCGACGGGAGACGCTGCTGCAGGCGGCTTCGGTGGGATACGCAGTGGGGGAGAGGGACATTGTTTTGAGGTACGTTTGCTGAGGTCGACCCCTTCCAACTCTCCCATCCTCACTCATGTATCTGAAACAAGTATACAAGACAAGTGTGGATGGGAGAGTTGGAAGGGGGTCAACCTCAATTAGATTGGGGAAGTTTTTAGCAAAGGCCAGCTTAGGAGTACCCTAATGAAGTTAATAACATGTACCTACCTATATAGTTTAAGTTTACAAAATTTGGCTCTCAAAAGAAATTTCAATCGTTGTACCCTGATATTTGCCTCTGTTGACTAATGAGTTTGCCGACCACTGGGCTAAGTGAAAGGGAATGTTGGTTGTGAAGTGTTCCAAAGGTCAGTCCCCAGTGGAGGGGATATAAATCCAATTATTTGATCAGACCTAACAAACACAAGTACCTGAGGCATCAAGCACAGCATATGGGCGAAGTGAGAAGCCCTTTGGACAAGGCCACTGAGGCACTCTGCACTGGGGAACGATGACTGGGCCTGTGTGTATGACTTTCAAGACCTGCAACCCAAGGTCGCACATGGAGGACACCAGTACAAGGCTGGCAGTGAGTGAGATGAGCAAGAGCGACACCAGGACGTGAGAGTGGAGGTGGGGGTTGGTCTCTCAGACTGTGGGGGGTCACTGTTCATCCCCATCACCACTTGACCTTGACTCTGTGGAACTAAATTGGAGGATTGCTGGACTTTGCAATTCTCATAGAATTCCTCTCTTTGGACTAAATAAATCCCTAGGACTCTTGGACAATTCGTGGAGAGAGTGGGGCAGCCCCAGGAGAGAATGAAATTCTGCTCATGAGAGAATGTGGTGCTTGAGTGATTCATTAGAGAAACAAAGCAGATATGTCTACAATGTCCACCATCCTGATGAAATAGATCATACTCCTTACCATGGACTCATGAAGCATTTATAACATCTGCTATTTTGCCAGGCCCTTTTTTTCTGGACACTGACTATCCCAAGATGGATAAAATAAAGGTCTAACCTCTAATGAACTCAAAATATTTCTTGGGTAAGATAGTCTAGTAAACAGTAAAACAGAATAGGACAAATACAGGGATAGAGGCTTATCTCCTAGTTGTGTGTGTTTGGGAGGGGACAATAAACAAAGAACAAATAAAATATGTAGCATGTTCCATAGCAATCAATGTCCTGGAAGAAGAGAAAGCAAGAAAAGAAGCAATGTGGGAGGGGAACACTGCTCTTGTAAACAGGATGGTGACATGGTCATATTTGAGCAAAGACCTGTAGGAAGTGAGGGCGTGAGCCATGCAGTCATGTGGGGGAAGAGGAAGCTGCAGTGCAAAGGCCCTGGGGCAGGAGCATGCCTATTGTGTTCCACAAGACAGCTGGAAGCCAAAGTGGCTGAGCACAGGGAGCAAGGAGAGGAGAGGTAAGAAGGAAGGCCAGAAAGGTCATGTCATTTCCTCTAAGTAAAGTAAGGAGTCATGAGAGGGTTTTGAATAGAAGAATGACATGATGTGACTTAGGTTTTAAGAGAACCACTCTGGCTGCTGTGCTGAGAATGGACTGGTAAGAGCAACGACAGAAGCAGGGGGACCAGGTAGGAGGCTATCATAGAAATCCAAGAGAAAGAGGGGAGTGGCTTGGACCAGCGTGAAAAGAAGTAGCCATTTTTGCACATGATTTGAAGATACAATAGAACCAATAGGATTTTCTGATGGTTTGAATTTAGAGAAAAAGAAGAGTCAAGGAGGATTCCACATTTTTGTTGTTGGTTTTTTTTAAAAATCAAGCTTATGGAGTAGTTTACATACAGTAAAATTCACCATTTTTAGTGTATAGTTCTTTAAGTTTTGACAAATGCATTCAGTTACATAACTACCACCTAAGTCATGATAAAGAGCCAATTCCATCACTATAAAGAAAATCCCCCATGCTCCTTTGTGGCCAATCCTTCCCCCATTCCAACCCCTGGCAATCACCCATCTGCTCTCTGTCCCTACAGTTTTGCCTTTTCCACAATATCATATACTAGTAAATGGAATCATACAGTATGTACCCTCTTAAGTTTGACTTCTTCTCCTGCATTCAAGTCTAGAAGGAGGAGGAAGGTGGGACAGGCTAATGTCCCTTTTATCAGGAAAAAACAGCTTCCCAAGAAACCACCCATCAGAAATCTGCTTTCATCTCATTGGCCAACACTCAGTCCCATAGGCACTGGTGACCTTGCCAGAGATTGTAGGAGGGAGTATTTAACTTTTCTAATCTCTAAGGTGGAGGAAGCAGAGGATGGGGATCGGAATGGGTGTTGGCCGAGCCAACCAAAAAAGTCTGCCACCTAGGGGAATGTTCTGGGATTAAATGTGTTTTTTCACACTGTTCTGGATGCAGAGTGGAAGAGTTGGGAGGTCCCAGGCTGGGAAGAGAGAAGTCTCCTTGATGGTTAAAGAATTAAGGAAGGAGCCTGTGAAGAAGCAATAGCCAGACCTCACAGCCTGCAGCTAAGTCAGCTTCTGCTGTAATGACATTTGTCACTGGTGTCTCCACTCCTGCCCTTGGGAAGGTAAGAAGGACTCTATAAAGGGCTGTTCATTGTGGGAGGTTAAATGTGAGTGGAGGCATCTTCCTGGATGGGCATATTGGCCCTATTCCCACTGGAGGAGCCTCCTCCTGGAGGGAACAACTGGAAGGGTCTTGTCTGCAGCTTCCAGAGGCTGCAGAGGGTATCTATGGAGCCAAAGCAGTGAGGCCTTCCGCCCCCCCCCCCCCCAAGAGTGGCCTAGATTTGGGGCATGTTCCGGGGCCCACCTCCAACCAAGGAGCAAAGGGGCTCCTCTGTGGTATGGACCCTGCCAGGGCAGGGCTGACTACATTTCCACCTCCTGGACCCCCATCCTGATTGGGAAGGGGCAGTCATGCGGAATCCTGTCAAACTTTGAAGCACCTGCTCCCCGCTGAGGGCCCAGCCTGTCTCAGGTTCCTCAGATGGGCAGAAGGGTGCCCTCAGGGTCAGGGGCTTCCTAGAGGCTGATCATCCAACTCAGAGAAAACCCAGCTCACCCAGGAGCATCCTGCTATTCATGGGGCAGCTTCCCCATCCTGGCAGATATTTCTAGGCATCCCTTTCTCAAAGGCTTTTGTCAGCATGTCACTTTAAGGAGCTCATCTGTTTACTGAATGGGAGGGAGGAGGGTAAGGAGACCAGAGTGCCAGGTAAAGAGAGGACTAGGTCACAAAGGGGAGGTCCTGGGATTCAGCTGCCACCCACTCACTCCCCAGGCTGGCTTCCAGGTGAGCAGGAGGCCAGTGTAGCATGTGTTTGTTTATTTTAACAAAACCAACCCCACAACATTTCGTGGGATCTGGTAATAACCTAAGGGTGATCAAAACAAGAGGAACAAATGTTTTAGAAAAGTAGTTCCAATAAAGGGTACCAACCAACCGACAAACACCTGCACTCCGCTCTCAAAAACTCACTTCACTGCCTGGTTCTGGTCCGAGGCACTCCTCGCTGTTAGCGTGACTGGCCCTAGTTGTTTTCTTGACTTGGCTTTAGAGTGAATCTCTTTTGCATGAACTATTCCAGGGAAGCCCAGGTGGACTAGGTGGGGAGGGGAGGGGAGGGGAGGGGGAAAAGGGCTCGTCCAGGAGGAAGGAGGCCTAGCCGCAGAAGAACGGACAGTGGAAAAGGCCATCCTAAGGGAACAAGAGTGTTAGCTGGGTCCCCCCAGGGCAGGAAGCCAGGCGACTCCTGTGGCTTGGGACATTGCGCTCACCCCACCCCTGTGGGTGCAGGCAGGTGACTCAAGCCCAAGATGAGGCAGGGCCTGAAGCCCTGCTGTCTCATTGTTGTGCTCCTTCCTCCACAGGGAGGTTCACGGAATCAGCTGTGAGTCACTGGTGAGTCAGCTCCTGGGGGTGCAGGCATGGCTGCCTCAGCTCAAACCCGGGAGACAGGCCTCTGGGCGCAGGGGGCGTGGTTTCTCCCACCAGCCCTGTTTTGGAAACCCAATCGGCAGGGCCCTGCAGCCACCAAACCCTTGGGGTGCTTTCATGTGGCAGAGCTGGGTCTCCTGCCTTCTCTCTATAAAAGGACAGTGCAAAGGTCGGGGGTCAGGATGTTGAACCCCAGGTGGACCCCTGCTCCCCAATGTCCCCATACAAGGGGGAAAAAACAGGATCTGGGGAATAAATAATTTATTGAAATTGGGGGAATAAATAAAATATGCGAGCGGATTACAAATAACTGTAAAAATCATTAACATATATACACAAAGGCGCTCCCGGCCCCAGGGGTGGAGCCTGAGCCCGGGGGCGGGGCGAGGGCGGGGCCTCCCAGCGGAGGCCGGGCGCCCGGGAGAGGTAGACGGCTTATTTACAGCGGAGGA